CCAAACCCCAAATGTCCCCAAAACCCCCAGACCCCACAGATCCTTCTATGCTGGTGTCCCCAAAGGGTGACGAGCCACCCTTCCCGAGCTGGTGTCCCTACAGCTGCTGGCACAGGCACAAACCAACCGCAGCAATCCCAAAATACGGCTCCCTTCGCCATCCCAAAACCACACGGCCACGGGAATATCGGCTGCGGGGGTAAAAATAGCCTGAAGCTCGCTGCCTCCTCGTTAGGGATGCTTCGTTAGGGTTTGCTGGTGGGGAATACGGGGCTCGATCCTATTAGCCATGGGGAGGGATGCCAGGGGGCTGCACGGCCCCGTGTTGGCCCTTCCCGTGCCTCAGTTTCCCCTGGAAAAGAGCCAGGATAAGATTCGGGCGAGCCCTTGGCGCTGGGGAGAAGAAAGCAGAGATTCACCCACCCCCCCCTCCCACCCCGGCCGTGTAATTATAGATTTCCAGAAACGCCAAAACCCGAGAAAACTCCCAGCCGTGGCCCAAAACCTGGTTTCTATGGAGATCATCGAGGAGGGAGGTGGGGGAAAGGGAGCAGGGGGACGAACGGGTGCCCGGTGCCCAACTTCAGGGGAAGAAATGTTACCGGTGGGACAACGTCCAGAGGACTTTTTGTGTTTTTTGCTGCAAATCCTTGCTTTTTTTTTCCCCCAGGACCACCTTCACGCCTCGTCCCTGCACCCAGAAAAAAGGCAAGGATGAGGATGCTCCCGAGGGGGTGTACCAAAACCAAAGGATGCTCCAACCACCGAAACCCCAATGCAACCACCTTTACACCACGCATCCCCCTCCGCCACCCCCAAATCTGCCCCCTCTCCACTTTTGGGGGAAGAAACCAGCGTTTTTGGCTCCCTCCACCCCATCCATGGTGGGAGCAGCAGGTGGGGAAGGCAACGGCCGGGCCGCTCCGGGGCCACATTCCCATGACTTGTCCAGTCCTGCGAGGTGCTATATTGAAGTCGAAATTTTCCTGTTTAATCTGACGGCTGCGAAGTCAACAAACAGAAGCGTGGCAGCGAGCAGACCTCATTTTCCACCCCCCCGGGGCGCCTGCACATGCGTGTGCATGGCTGTGCGCACACGTGTGCCACCCGTCCCGGCGGCTCACGGGAGCCAGAACAACTCCTTTTTATTTTTCCTTTTGATGCAATTTTTTTTCTTTCTTTCTGCCTTGATAGCAGCATTTCTTCCTGCAGCTTCCATGCTGAAAAAGGGTTTTGTCATCCCGCACGGCACAGGGGGGGGATAAAAACTTTGCGCCCAGGTTTCGAGCGCGGCCGGAGGAGCTCTCCGGCACCAGGGACGCCTTGGCCGGCTCCGGCCCCACGGAGAATCGTTGGAAGGCTCCCAGGACAAACAGTCCTGCTGCCGAGGGAGAACAGCACGTTACAGCCACCCGCCGGCACACACAGCTCGGGAAAACGCCGGCACAGCGGCGCTGCCCTGCTCCGAATCACCGGTGCAGCAAGGAGCCCGGGGGGGGGGGGGTGTTTGGGTAAAGGTTTTGCCGTGCTGAGAGCAGCCGGAGGGATTTGGTCCGTGTTTTGCTTGGGGTTTTGGATGCCTGTGCCCTCTCCATGCTCTGCGTGTGATAAATAAGTTGGGGGAAAAATAAAAAAACAAAGCTGGTGGTGTTGGGAATGGTGGAGCGCGCGGTGTGCCGAGCCTGCAGCACTGCCAAACGTGCTCGAGGGGGATCCTGGATGGTGAGCATCAAACCCAGAGTGGATTAAAGTGGGTGCTGAGCCCACTGGGAGCACAGGGGTGGATTTATTTGGTGCTTCTGGCCACCTGGGGACCTCGCTGTCCCCGCACGATGCCAGCATCCTCACCTCCGCCGGGCACCGCGGGGAGCACTCGTGCATCCAGCCCTCAACAGGAGGAGAGCGTTAGGTTCGTTAACTGCAAGCCCTAATGAGCCAGGAGCAGGCAGAGCTACAAACCAGGAGGATATCTTGAGGGATTAACGCCGCAGGACTGCCAGACCCCGCTGTTACTCCCTGGAGATGGAGACCAGGACGCACAGATGGCACGACGCTTCGGATGCCCCCAAGTCCCCACGGAGCGGCGACAATGTCACCGAGCAGAGGACCAGCCTCATGCTGCTGCCGCAAGCCAGAGCCCAGGCAGGGGGAAATAAATAAAAAAATAAAGATAATTTCTTCTCCGAAGGTCCAGGAGCGCGTAAATCTCCGCTCGCTCCCAGGTTATATCCGGCCTTTGGTGCTCTGCCCTGTAACGAGAGCAACTCGGTCCCCCTCGGCCCCCCCCGGCCACAGCTGGTGCCATCTGAAGTAAAACATCCCAGCTCCGCTCTCCAATAAATCAAAGGGGAAATAAAATACGGGTTTAAGTTCTCTTATGGCTGAGGCACAAAGGAAGCCGAAGGCAGGAGAGAGATTCAAAGATACGGCTGCAGCCTTGCCCTTAAAAGGAGAAATTCGCCCCCTCGGTGCCGAGTCCGGCGGGTTCAGGCAAGGTGAGGAACATCCGCCGGGGGGTCCAGCCCCTCCGTGTGTCGTGCTCCCAAGGTGATGCTGAGCCAAACTGGGCTCCCAGTTGCTCGTGACTGGTGCTGGAGTTGGTAGGCTGGGGGAAAATCCGCCTCAAATGAGCCCAAAATCGGTTCGGATGCTCCCGAGCAGCTGTGCCAGGAATCGCCACGCTTGATGCTTTTTTTTTTTTTGACGCCTTTTGGCACGCTTTTTGCCCCGACATCTCCAAGTCCCTCACAAACCATTAATCACTCCCCTGAGAGCCAGACCCTCGCCCCACCGGGCGCTTGCTCCGTGTCAGCGTTGGCCAAAAATAGGGTGAAATTACCCCAAAATTTACCCCAAACCCCTTTCCGGGGATGCTCTTCCCGCATCTCCCCGAAGCTCCTCGCTCTTGGACGGCTGCAGCAGCGATGGATAAAAGGGACGTGCGGGAGGAAAACGAAGCAGTCGGGGTGCTGGGGTCCCCTCCTCGCCCCCGGCGTGGATTTTATCCCAAGATTTTGCCCCCTTCCAGCTCCTCTTCCCTCCAAACGGCGCCGGAGGCGTCGACCGACTCCACACCAAAATTTTTTTTTTGGGCAAACGAGCGTGCAAAAAAAAAGAGGGCGCCTTGCAGCTGCGAGCCAGCCGAGCTGCTATTTCGGCAGCCTGGGGCTGGGAAAATAACCCAGCCTGCAACCACCCGCACCCATCTGCGGGGCTGGGACGTGAGGCGGCACCCAGCACCCACCCAGACACCGGGGCTGGGTTTTCTCCTCTCCTCTCCTTTCCAACTGCTGGAGAAGGGGGCAGGGGGATGGTGAGGGCAGAGCCCACCCGACTGCACGGAAAAGGGTGGGTTATGCGGAAAATGGGTGCTGATAAGGGGTTGGGAAGTTATCGCCCACCCTCGCCCTAGGGCATGGATCAAAGCCGGCGCTGCTCCATCCCAGCGCGGGGCCGTGGCACGGAGAGATCTGTGGGACCGCAGTGGGATCAGCAAATCCTACATCCCCTGGTGTCCCCCCATGTCTAGGGGGATGCGGGGAGCCCTCCAACCCCGGCACCATGGGGATGGAGCATCCCGTCCGGTGCTTTGCCCTCCCGGGGCCAAACCATCCCCTTGGGATTTCCCGAGAAGATGTTGGGGAGATTCCGTGGCCAAGATGCTCCACCACAGCAATGGGGTCGAGTCCCCAATCCCTTATCACAGCCCTTATCGCAGTGCCACCAAGACCCACAGGACACCGGGCCAACTCAGGTGCTTGGAGAGGGGATCCTGCTCCAAGAAAACCCACCAGGACCCCAAAACATTCAATTTGTTGCTGCTCGGGGATGAAGATGGGGAAAACACACGAATTTTGCGCACGCGCGTGCGCCACGGGATAAATCTCCCTGCTCCACATCTCAACCCGGCCAGGAAGGGTTACGCTGCCCGGGCGCTTCTCCTTGGGCGGCCAGAGGCTTTGCAGGGGATTCGCACAATCCCGGCCTCCTGGCCACCATAAATCACCACCGAAATGGGATTTGGCCCCCCGTGGGTATTTCTGGGCTTCGCCCTGGCGCCGCGCGGGGATGTCAGCCCACGGCGACTCGTGCTGAGTTATTAAAAGCCCGGTGGGCGCGGGAGGCGGCGGCGCTTGCGAGCGTGGCATCGCTTTTCCAGCAGCTTCGTTCCCCCCATCTGTGCTCCCGTGTCCCCGCTTGCACCGGCGAGCAGGGAAGACCCCAAAGCCGGCGACCCCAAAGCTGACCCCCGGGGAAAGCAAAACGCCTTTTTCCTCCCCAAAAAAGTCCCCCTGAGCCCACCGGGAGCAGCATTAATTAAACGGGGTAATAAAACCTTCACAGACACTTTTTTTTCCCCCTTTTCCCTTAGTTTTTAACGTGCACTTTTCTGGTAAGCCATAAACCTCAGCTTGGTCACCACGAGCCTTGAGCTGAAAAGTTTTAGGGGAAAAAAACCACAGTTGCTCTCGTTCAGCACATTTACACGGGGAACAACTGCAAGACACGGCACTTTTGGGGTCAGAAAGTGCTGGTTTGCTCCAGCAGGGCAGAATATCAGGAATATATTTAAAAAAAATACAAATTAAGCCCCCTGCCATAGAAAAAACAACTTCTGGTTCAGAGTTTCAGGCAGAAAATTAGCCCTGGCTGGTCCAGAGCACACCTGTTTCTGGGAACCCCATAGAGCATCGCTGGGAAATGCACCAGGAAGGCAGGAGAACTGCCTTCCCCGGATGTTTTTGGTGCTGTTTGACCCAGAAATTGCTTGGTTTCCACCCCAAAATCACCTACTTCTGGGGGTGGATCCCACAAGGACCACCCTCAGCACCAGAAAGGGCCGGCCCCTGCTCTGGGCCATCCAGCAGCGCCAACGGGAAAACTTTGGTCCCCAAAAGGGCCACGCGGTGGGGAGGGGACCCCAAAACACCCCCGCCACCCGTGGGGGGACAGTCCCACAAAGCCAAACCCCGGGGTTTTGGGGCGAGAAGGGCACTTACCACTTGGGGCTTGCTCCTGGGGTCGCTCTGCCGAGGGCACCGGGCGGGCTCGGGGGCGGTGGGCGTCGCGGGCGAAGAGCGGGGTCCGTCCCCGGGGCCGGGGGACGTGTCACCGGAGTTGAGGGCCAGCATGTACCGCTTGGTGACATCCTCCAGCGACGGCGGCTGCGGGGCAGGGAAAGTCTTGAGGGGCAGGCGGGTGGCATCCGGCACGGGGAGGTGGGCATGGTGGGCGGCGTGCGGCTCGGGGACCGAAATGGGGACGAAGGTGGCGGGCTCGCTGGTGTGGCGCACGTGCTTGGTGGCCGGGCGGGCCACCCTGGAGAGGCCGGGGGGCACCGGGGGAGGTTGGTTCTCCTGGTGGGACGCGCGGCTGGAGCGCTTCTTGGAGCTGCGCCGGGCGCCGCGGGGGGACAGCACCTCGGCGAGCTTGGGGTCGAAGCCGTAACCTTGGTGTCCTTGGGGACGCGCCGGTGGGGATCTCTGCTCCGAGAGGATGGGCTCGCTGCTGGACGGCGGGATGCTGCCCTCCAGCTCGCTGATGGCTTCACCGGGACCCTCGAAGGCGCCGGCGGCCAGCTCGCCGCGCCGGCTGGGGTCGCTCAGCGACTTCTTCTTGATGGTTTTGCCGTTGCCCTTCTCGTCGATGACTTTGTCCATGGCGCCGGGCTGGCTGACGATGGTCTGGATGAGGCTGCTGTAGTCCCGCAGCCCGTCGCTGCCCAGGGAAAGGTCGCTGCCCGCGCTGCCGGCCAGCGCCATGGCCGCGGGTTGGGGGATGCCCCCCTTGGCGCTCAGCGAACCCAACAGGTTGCTGTCGACGGAGAAATTCTTCGCCTCCTCCGCCACCGGGCAGCGCCGGTGGGGCATGGGGTCGCTCAGGGAGCGGTAGGGCTCGCCGCCGCCCTCCCCGATGCCGCTCTCGGCCCCGTTGGCACCCACCGAGGGGAATTTCCGCCGGCGCCGCAAGCTGCTGGGGGTGCTCGGGGCCTCCAAGGGTGCTTGGGCTTTGGTGGCCACGGGGACGTCTTCCAGTGCCATGGCTTGAGCCGGGGGCAAAGGTGGCTCGGTTGCAGTCTCAGTGGCATCAGGCAGCTGCCAGGCGGCCACGGCCTCGTGCAAGTCCCCCAAGGCCACCCCAGGAGGCCCCGGCTCCGGCTCGGTGACGATGCCCTCGTCCGTCATGCTCGACTCGTGCCCCAACAGCTCCTCCACGGATTTCCTTCGAGAGAAATTCTCCAACTCCGCTTCCTTCAACCGCCGCGTGCTCTCCGCCTGTCCCCGAAGGGCCACGTCCGTCCCCATGGCGGGTGCCACCTCCCCGACGCCCTCCACACCTCCGCTGTCCTTCTGCTCGGCCGCCAAGCCGTAATCCTGCTGGGAACCCATCCTGCTGATCTTCTCGAAGACCTGCCTGGCCTCCTGGATGTACTGGTCCTGGATGACCACGGGCAGCGCGTCCTCGTCCCCCCGCCGCCCGCCGCCCGCCGGAGCCGCCGCCTCGTGGCTACCGGCGGTGGCCAAGAGGAGCTCGGAGGAGCTCTGCTTCATGGTGCTCTGCAGGAAAAGCCGGCGCGTCCCCGATTTCTCGGAGCAGGTGAAGGACTTGGCGCGGCGCAGCGTGGCCGTCAGGTCCTTCAGCGTTGGCCGCTCGCCCGGCGCCCAGCGGCTGGGGGGCTGAGCGGCGCCGCGGTCCCGGGGGCCGGCCGGCGGGGGGCCGACATCGCAGCCCCCCTCGGCCAGGCCGATCCTCACCCCTTTCTTCTTCACTTTCAGCTCCGACAGGTCCGACTTGAGGAAGCTGAGGAGCGTCAGCGTCTCGGTGGCGATGTCGGGGTTGGACAAGGACTTGCGGTGCTCGGCCCGCTCCCCCGCCAGCTGCGGGCCCTCGCTCCCCAAATCCGGCCTCGCCTTGGCCGTGCCCGGTGCCACCTTGGGCCTCCCACGGGTTTGGGGTTGTCCCCAAGCCACCCCATCGCTCGGCCCGAAACCGGGCGAGCGGCGGCCGCCGTGGAGGACCCAACAGCTGCCCGGCTGCTCCTCTTCCTTCAGCGTCTCCGTGCTGGAGTAGCGGCTCCCGGCGGGGCTACCGAAGGGCAGGATGCTCACCTTGGCCACCCTGGCCACCACGGGGGCCGCGGGGGCGAGCGGTTGGCGGCTCCCCAACTTGCTCGGGCCCTCGCCGTCCCCTTGGCGGTTGGGGGCTCGCAGCAACCCCTCGCCCTCGCTGCCCGGAGAACCCCGGCTACGGGGCGAGGAAGAGGAAGGAGAAGAAGAGGAGGAGGAGGAGGAGGAGGCCGGGCGAGCCGAGCTATGCCAGGAATGCGGGCCGAGCCCCGGCGCAGCCCCGCGGGGCGCCCGCAGCGCCGGGTGCGGGACGCGGCTGCGGGGAGGTGGCGGCGGCGGCGTTCCCCGAGCGCTGCCGGTGCCGTTGGCTTTGGCGGTGCCGTCGGAGGTCCCGATGCCGTTGCCGGTGCCGATGCCGTTGCCGGTCCCCGGGGGCTGCCGCCCGTTTTCGCCGAAGAGTTTGCGCATCGCCGGGACGCTGGGCCAGCGCGGCTCCGCGCTCAGCGCCGGCCCCCGAGGCGGCGGCGGAGGAGGAGGAGGAGGAGGAAGAGGAGGAGGTGGAGGAGGAGGAGGAGGAGGAGGAGGAGGAGGAGGAGGAGGCTGCGGCGGCCCCGCATGGGCCGGGCCCGGGGGCTCGGAGCGGCCGAAACGCAGCGAGAGCTGCCGAACCGACGGGGCCAAGCTGCGCGCACCAAAAACTTGGCCGCCCGGGGAAAAAAAAGACGACGAAGAAGAGCAGCGGCAGGGAGACGAGGAAGAAGAGGAGGAGGAAGAAACCCGGCCGCTGCCCCCCTCCGCCATTGTGTGTCCCCCCCCCCTCCCCGCCGCCTCCCCTCCGCCCGCCCCCCGGCCCCGCCGGCAGCCCCGGCCCCGCTGCCCCCCGCCGCAGGCACCGCCCGGCCCCGCTCCTCCTCCGGGCTGCCAGCGGGCTTCATCACGCCCGCTTTGTTTTCTCTCCTTTTTTTTTATTCCTTCCTTTTTTTTCCCTCCCTCCCTCTTTTTTTTTTTTTTTTTTTTTTCCCTCGCCCCCTTCTTTTTTTTTTTTATTTGTTGCGTTCGAATAAACTTTCCCCGAGAGGCGGGGTTTGTTTCCTCTCCTCCTTCGGAGAGAGGGGGATGGTGGCAGTGGCCCTTTTGGGCTTTTTTTGTTTTTTTTTTTTCCTGCTTTTTTTTTTGCGAGAGCAGCGGCAGAAGGAGGAGAGGAGGGAGAAAAAAAGGGGAAGGGAAGGGAAGGGAAGGGAAGGGAAGGGAAGGGAAGGGAAGGGAAGGGAAGGGAAGGGAAGGGAAGGGAAGGGAAGGGAAGGGAAGGGAAGGGAAGGGAAGGGAAGGGAAGGGAAGGGAAGGGAAGGGAAGGGAAGGGAAGGGAAGGGAAGGGAAGGGAAAAGTGGCACAGAGCTGCTCAGGACGAGCACCAGGCTCCCCGCATCCCCCATCTCCACCCCCCCCACCCACCCCCAAATGGTGTTTATTTGATTATTATTTTTTTTTGGTGGGGAAACAGGATAAGGATGTGACTTTTGGGTCACCCTGAGCTGATCGGGGAGAGCCCCTTTCTCCTTTTTTCCACCTGGATCTCTCCAACCACACTTTGTGGCTCATCCAAGGCCGGGCACCCCGTCCCCACCTCCCCAGGCACCCCAGCAGCATGCTGCCCCGCTGAAAGTTTTTCTCCTTACTTTTTGGGTCACCAGTGCTTGCTGCTTGCAGGCAAGAAGCCCGTTCCCCCAAAACAAGACAGCAGATTGACCTCCGGGAAGTGAAAATGAATGGGACCACCCCGCTTTGCAGGGCTGCACCACGTAAAGGACGCTGCTATCTATGTCTCTGGGCCCAAAACCCCCATAAATGCATTTTTTTCGAGAATAAAAAGCACCTCCGGCAACGCCGTGGATTCCTTCCCTGGCTCTCCCTTCCCTCCCACCACCTTCCTGCCCCGCTGCCCCCAGGGCTGGGTGGCTCCTGGGCCTGCTGATGACGTCCCTAAGCTGTCACTGGCATTTGGGATGGAATTTAGGGCAGAACCCTCCTGGCTCCATCCCTGAGGTGTGCCCATCACCGTGGCTTTGGGACCTGGTGGCACCAAGGGATCCACTGATGGGGCTTATCCAGAAGGAGCAGACCCCCGAGGCCAGGCAGACCAAAAGTGGAAAAACTGAGCTCCAAGTGCCTCAAAAACACCCCAAAATTGGCGATTCCACCTCCTGGACCTCTTTGGGATGCCCCTGCCCCAGCCCGGGGTGTCCCCAGGGTGTCCCCAAACCCCTCCGAGCCACCCAGGCGCTTGCACACCCCATGAAGGTGGCTTGGGGCCATCCACCCTCATGGGCAGAAAAAAACCAAAATATGTTCCTTTCTGCCTTTTTTGGACTTCCTTGGGGCTTTTTACAAAGCTTTTTGGGGTCACACCTGGCTGGGTGTCCCCCTCCCCGGCAGCCCCCCGGCCTCGCCGCCTCCCCGCAGACATTTCCCAAAACGCGAAGTTTTTGCGCCCTCTCCAAACCTGAAGATTTTGCGCCCTCTCCTGGGTCCGGGCGGCGTGGCCGAGCCCGAGCCCCGGCGTCACCCCCCCGGCGCCTTTCCTTTGTCCGGGAAAACTTGGGGACATCACCGTCCCCGCGGGTTTTTCCCTCCAACCACCGTGTTTTTATTTTTTTATTTTTATTATTATTATTTTTTTCCGCAGCACGCAAAATTGCGGGGATGGGAGACCCCAAAAACGCGTCGGAAGAGATCCCAGCGCCGAGAGCTATGGCCAAGGGGAACCCCGAGGCCACCCCTACCTCCTGCACCCCAACCTCAACCCCACATAGGGATCTCCCCAAGGTAAAGCAAGGGACCGTCCACTGCTAATCCCTGAGATTTGAAGCAAATTGCTTAAATCGACTTAATCGACGCGATTACGGCACAGAGACACCTGCGAGTATGGGTTTGCAAAGTGTATTTGGGGTTGGGGTGGCTCCGTGCACAACGTTGCCCCGCTCGGATGCGTGCGTATATACGGTACAAAGCGTGTGCAGGTCCTCGTGCAGATCCCCTATAGATATAGGGGAAGGTTCAGTCTATACGTCCTATATTATAGGGGACTGGCAAAGCAGTTAGAGGCACAGCCACGGTGCCCAGCCTCTTGGTGGCCTTGGGATCGGCTGGGCTCCTCGTGTGGGTAAGGTGCAACCCTATAAAACGTGATGCTTTGGTTCATCCAGCAGGCTCAGCCTTGATGTCCGGTGTCACCCGGGTGCTCGGTGGCAGTGGCAGGGGTCTCCCAGTTCCTGGCATCGTGTCCGGGTGGGAAATATGGCATCGGTGTCCTGGTCCCCCTCACCGCCCCTTCACCAGCTCCCCGTCTGGCCAGGGATGCCCTCTCACCCTTTCGAAGCCCCAGTGGCACCAGTGGCCCCATGTCTTTTAGTGGTCTGGTCCCATTCTGGGATACACCAGCGTTACCCCGAAATGTCCGTGACACCCATCTGTTCCTCTGCTGGGTCCACAGAGGTGCCAGAAATGGTTTGTGGGGGCTGTTGGTGTTCAGGACCCCAAAACTGCCCCATGGTTTCGGTGGCGGGGCACAGAGCCACGTTCCCCAGGTGAGTACAAGCCAAAAACTCATCCCCTGATGAAGGGAAGCTCAAAACATCTTTTGGGGGCAGAAATCCCCCCCCGAGCAGCCCACCCGGGCGGCCCCATCCCTTCTCCCCACGCTCCCACCGCCTCCTCCGTGGTCCCCCCCAGTGGTTTTTATTGCTTCGGTGCTTCAGCCTCCACCAAAAGGTGGCACAAAGCAGCTAAAAAAACAGGACGGCGTCGAGCAACCGGCGGAGGGCAGCCCTCGGAGAGCGGGGACACCGCGTCACAACCCCCGTGGGCTGGAAGCAAGCTCTGGAAGCTCAGGAGATGTCCCCCAGGCGCGTCCCCGTCTCCGCGCCGCGCGGCTTTGAGCCCAAAAGTGCTCCGGTGACACCGAGGTGGCCTCGTCTACCTAGGAGCCGTAGGTGACGCAGTGGTCGTGCCGCCACTTGGAGCTCATCTTGTCGAGGAGGTAGCGGGTGCTCTCGCGGAACTTGCGCTGGGTGAAGTAGAAGAGGATGGGGTCGAGGACGCTGTTCATGCTGGCGAAGGGGCGCGTGCACTTGTAGGCGATGGCGAACGCCTCCAGCACCGGGCAGGGCAAGGCGGGCGAGGAGCGGACGATCAGGTAGATGGTCTTGGTGAGGTGGAAGGGGAAGAAGCTGATGGAGAAGACGATGACCACGATGACGATCATGCGCACCGCCTTGTCCTTCTTCTTGTGCACCGCCAGGCCGATCAGCTCGTCCCTTTGGCACAGGATGCGGGCCATGCTGCAGTAGCACCCCAGGATGGCCACGAAGGGCAACAAGAAGCCGGTGACGGTCAACGTGATGCCGTAGGGGAAATAGGCGGCGGAGAGGTCCGGGGGGCTCAGGTCGTAGCAGACCGTGCGGTTCCTCTGCGTGCCGGTGGAGGCGAAGACGAAGGTGGGCAGGCACTGGGCGACCACCACGGACCAGACGGCGGCGCACACCAGCCACGTCAGCTTCTTGCCCTTCTTTTTGTGCCACGAGGCCAAGGGGTGGCAGATGCCCAGGTAGCGCTGGACGCTGATGCAGGTGAGGAAGAGGATGCTGCCGTGGAGGTTGGTGTAGAACTGGAAGCGGACCAACTTGCAGGTGAAGTCCCCGAAGGGCCAGTAGTCCTTTTGGGTGTAGTTGTAGATGAGGAGAGGGAGGGAGCAGACGTAGAGCAGGTCGGCCGTGGCCAGGTTGAGCATGTAGATCATGGTGCGGGTCAGCGCCTTGCGGGCCAGCCAGATCTGCCCGATGACCACGGCGTTGAGGGGCAGCCCCAGCAGGAACACCACCGAGTAGACCAGGGGCAGCAGCACCTGCTTGAATTCCTCGTGGAAGGTGCACGAGTTCCTCCCGGCTGTGACGTTGGCCATGGTCATGGTCCCCTCTTCACCGGCGTGGCACCTGCGGATGACAAAAAGGGGACACTTGGTGGCTTGGCCATGGGGTGACACATCCGGGATGAGCCCGGATCAGTGCATGCAACCCCATAGCCTCAACCTTCCCCATCGTGGCTTTTGGGGTCTGTTGGGTGGAAGGAGCAGCACTGTGCGGGGTGGTGGCCACTTGGGGACAGCGCGGTGGCCACCGCCACCGCCGCCCCGTGGTGCTGGCACTTTGCACAAGGCCAAGCTGCTCTTCTGCCGGATGGGCAGAGCTGCTAAAGAGGAAATTGCAGCGGAGCCTTCAGCGGCGCAGCGAGCTCAGCCCTTGTCCCTGGTCCTCTGCAGGGGGTGCCAAAACCCTACAGCGAGCCACCCGTTTTGGGAGCCGCCACCAGTGCCGAGGGACGCGCGTATGTTTCACGGGCGCTTTCATCCGGGGACGGAGAGCAGCACCTCCCTGGTTCTGGAGGTTTTGGGGTCCTGGGGGTGATGCCAGCCCATCCAGGTGGCCCCTGGGCTTCTGGGGACGAGGCCACCCGCTCCGTTATGGGGCTGGGAAGCTGCGTCCCCGAGCCAGAGGCTGCAACCGGAGCCTGCTCTGCCGGGAGAGCGGGTTGTGAGCAAGCAGTGAAAGGAGGAGGAAATAAAACCCCACAAAAGGCGACTACAAAACCGCAGAGGCCCCGTCCCCCGCCTTGCCACCGCCACCCCGCCCGTGTCGCTTCGCCAGGGCCCTCGCCTGGCACCCATGGGTGCTGAGCACGCCCGAGGTGGTTGGAGCACCCGTGGCAGCGGCGTGCAGAGCGGCTTCTCCTGCCTCTCTCAGTTCCTCCCCGTGTCACCCTCGTCCTGCAGACCTGTCTGCGACCTCGGCACCCACTTCCCCTCTTCGTGACCCCCCCCGGGCTAGGGGTGCCCCCCTCCGGCTG